CGAACCCCCTGACTCCCGCACCGAGCCCTGCAGCGGCGGCGCCTCGCTCCCCAGCCCTAAGCCCCGCCCCCTCACACCTCTCTAAGGGGCTGGAGAGGGGCAGTGACCGAGGGGAGGGACAGCCACCGCAGGACTACCCACAATCCCTAGAGCCAGGTGAGTGTGTAGATATTTTAACTTTGGGAATAGAATGGTGCAGTGATGACGTCTTTTTGTAGGCCAATAGGAAGTTGGCAACAGCAAGGGCTCCTGGGATTTTTCTATTGGATTTTGGATTATTGCCAAAAATAAGATATTACACATAACACACTTACACATTTCTTCAGCACAATATTCTCCACATATTAACACAACTTTATGTTATTTTTAGTGGGAGTAAAAAGTTAACATTAGGCTATATATGAGCTAATTTACGCACCAGTACCGCTAAGCTAAAGACAGCTAATGTTCGCCGTGATGACGTTTAGTGGTCCAATTTTTCACCGAACATTTTTAATGTCGTAGAACAAAACATGAGCATCTCTTCAGCTTGTGTTAACCATAGAAGTGATTTCAGGCGTCTAACCATAAATAGACCTTGTGCTAAAAATGATAACTGCAACAGGAAGTTGTTAAATGCTAACTCAATCCTGGGTTTTAGGACTTGTTCCTGCACCTAGGGTGACCAGGTCCCAACAAACCAAATGTGGGACAAGGAGTATGTTTGTGTGGGACAATGTGGGACACCCTCTCAACAGCACACACCCCCCCCGGAAAAAAAATCTCTATTTCTATTCTGTTTCATTTGATCTATTCAACAGCATCCAATAAACAATGACAGAAAGTCAAGTCAAAATGCAGTAACAATTTAGTACCCCCCCCCCCCCACAGTGTGTGGGCTATTTTGCCACCTAGACACTGGTGTCTTTAACTCTGTCAAACAACTCTCCACAGAGGCAGGGGCAAGCTGCTTTTGTACGTCCACATAACATTTTCTTTACTATCTCAGAGTCTGGAAAAATGGTCGGCGCTAGCTTGTTACCACAGTCATTTGACCGGTATGATTGGGAGTGTTGCACTGTATGGTAATCACTGGTTATTTCTGCTGCTGTTACCTTGTCTGAGTGGCCATCATTTTTTGGTTTGAGTAGGAATGTCTCCATAGAGTGGGATGTCTCTTTTTGAGCGACACGTTTCTTGTGAGAATCGCATTCTCGGTGTGTTTTGACGTCGTATTCACCGCCATGTGAAATTGTAAAAATTACTCTTGCAAAGATTGCAAAAAACTCTCTCTGAGAGTCGCCCTGCACTGGCTTCACCCACTGATAAGTGTCTTCCCAGTCTTTGTTGTATGTGCATCTTCTTTTCTTCTTATCTGTAGTTTCCTCCATTTTCCATAACCTGCTGGGTCGCCTGCATTATTGACTGACTTTCGTTGTTGCTGTTTGTTTGGCGGGGGGGGGGGGGGGGGGTGTGTGTGAGTGAGTTACTCTCATTGGTTAACACTTGACCAGCACCCGCCGTGTGTTACAGATTGATTGACAGCAAACACACCCCCGTGATGATAGCCTTCCCTGCTTTCTCAACAGCCATTGGATAAATCTGATTTTAAAGAAAAGCGTTTTAGCCAATCAAAATGAAATATGCGGGACATCGTCTCAATTTGTGGGACGCACCAAAAGTCGTGAAAATGCTGTGTAGTCCCGCGCAAAGCGGGACATCTGGTCACCCTACCTGCACCCCTCCTACTCTGATTTTAAAAACAAAAACGTTATCAGCAGGTTGAAAGAGACAGATATAGAGAGGTGTAGTGGGACAGAAAAAAGAGAGTAAGATAGAGGATGCTGCTGCAGAAATGTAGCACCGGTCTTTGAAGCGTGGTATTCTTTTGATTTTGCAGAAATAGTTTGAAGCATGGCCGATCCCTTGCTCTGTGTGCCCTTGAGTGTGTGTTTGTGTGTGAGCATTTTTCCTCAGAGAGCTAAAGAGGGACAGCGGGCAGGTCAGTCATTAAGGTCAAAGAAAGCATATGGGCACTCAGTGTGTGTGTGTGTTTGACCTGCCATAGTGCACCTGTGTGTGTGTGTGTGTGTGTGTGTGTGTGTGTGTGTGTGTGTGTGTGTGTGTGTGTGTGTGTGTGTGTGTGTGTGTGTGTGTGTGTGTGTGTGTGTGTGTGTGTGTGTGGTGTGTGTGTGTGTGTGTGTGTGTGTGTGTGTGTGTGTGTGTGTGTGTGTGTGTGTGTGTGTGTGTGTGTGTGTGTGTGTGTGTGTGTGTGTGTGTGTGTGTGTGTGTGTGTGTGTGTGTGTGTGTGTGTGTGTGTGTGTGTTTAAGCTTGCATGTGTGTCACGAGACGAAGGTCAGAGGGATCTTCAGACGGGCTCTCCTTATCCTTCAGGGGTCCTTGAGAAAGAACAGGCGGAAGGATATGCATTCATCTGGCTGTGTTGTCAGGGGGGCGGAGGGATACCATCAATAACAGAAAGCGCAGGGGTGACAGGGCCGACGCTGCAATCACAGGAAAACGGCAGGGTGTCATCAATATCCCACATAGATCTATACACTCACTCACACACACACATCCAAAACATATACTTTACACTACTGTACACACACATACACACACACACACAAACGAGCAGACACTGTGTGTTTTCGGCACCCTGCTGTCAGTGTATGCCGACTGTAATCACACGCGTCATCCTCTGCCTGAACAGAATGGCAATGAATACAAAAAGGGAAAGGGCCTCACTTAAAGACACAGAGATTCTCTATTTTCTGATGCTTTTTAATATTATTTTGTACAGTTTGTCCGATAGTGAAATGGTTTTATATGCTATTTGACGCCGGCTTTTTCTTCTTTCCTCCAGACCTACCACCTGTTTACACCTACCCTCCGATCACCATGGGTTACAAGGCCGGACTCTCGCCTCCGGAAGCTCGATTGGCCCAACAAGCCACGGTGGAGGCGGAGCCAGCAGAGCCCGAGTCCAAGCCCCGCCCACATCCGTTCCACATCACCGTAGAAGAGGAGAGGGGGGAAGAAGAAGAAGAAGATAGAGACTGCGAAGTTGTGGAATCCCGGAGTACAGTTGTGATCGAGGAGAAGGAAGAGAGCAGGGTGGAAGTGAAAGGATTCTCCGAGCCCAAGAGCGAGATTTCTGGATTGCCGCCATGCCCTTCCCCAGCTCTGATCCAAGACTCAGCTTGCCCCGCCACGGGCAAAACCCTAAAAGTAGAGCTCTCTCTGGGCTGCCCGGGCCAGAAGGCCGGCCTGGAGGAGCCCCAAATATCCAAAGAGAAGGAGGATGATAATAAACATGGAATAGAGGACATGGAGGGAGAAAAACTGGGGCCTGAACCAACAGAATGTACTGTGTTTGTAGAGGAGAAGGTGGAGGACAAAGAAGGAGAGAATGTAGAGGTGGTGGAGGATGAGGAGGAGGAGAAGGAGAAGGAGATTCCAGGCGAAAACTCAGTGGAAGTAAGGTGTGTTTCTCCTGGTCCTCCCCCCTCCTCTGACACCCTCCTCCCCCCCACCCCGGGCACAGCAGCTCAGACACAAGGCGCCTACATGTGGAGCCTGGAGCTCCTGATCGCTGCCACTCTTTGCGCCTCCAGAGATGCCTTGTACCCTCCTGCTCCTGCTGTCAGGGCCCCCAGCCCCCCCCCACACCACGGCATGGAGATACTGGGAGAACTGGCCGAGCTGGAGATCCAACAGAGGAGCAGACAGAAAGACGCTGAGGGTGAGTTCATCTGATGGTTCTGTTTTGTTCTGCTGAGGCCTTCAAGTCAAAGTCAACTGTATTGTCAATCTTTCAGTTTGTGTGTACAGACAGAGATCAAAATACCGTTTCCCACAATCCCGAATACAAAAACAAAGAGGCCTTCCAACGTGATGTCATTTGCGTCTTTAAAATTGGAATATTTGAAAGTCTGTGAAATATCTCTGAAATTGAGCCAAAAATTCCCAGAGTGATTTAGTGTATACTTTACAGTCCTTTCTATTTCTTATAGTGAAACTGTTGGTTCTTTTTTATATATTTATCTACATAATTCCAGAAAATAGAGAAATCTCTTCTCGATTTCTTGTCTATTCAGACCAGATTCACTTGAATTGGAATCATTTCATAGTCAAAATGCATTTTTCTACCATTTTGCATGAAAAATGACTTGAACGTTGGCTGATTATAAAAAAATCGGCAAATTATGTTCAGAGAAATTGACACACCAAATAATTGTACCGTATCCAGGATCCTTTTTAAATAGGTCCTGTGTACAAATGACATCATCTTGTTGTAATAAAAAGGACAAGAAAACTTATAAAATTAGATCAAGGACAAATCAAAAAATGCACTATAGCCTAATTCTTTTCCTGACTACATAGACACACATGAACACACACAGCAGGGCCTCGGTGTGCAATCCAGATGTGGACCTCAACACACAAACACACATAAACACACTCACACACACACACACACACACACACATTTTCCCACTCGCTGCCCCTGCTTACTTCCTCTGCTCTGACTCTGTTTCTTGCCTGTAGACCATATGTTCTCCTCTGGGAGGTGCGTGTGTGTGTGTGTTTAATGGGGACACAGAGATGGACAAATGAGCTGAGCTTCAGACAGAAGCCAGGACATACACATTAACAGACACACACGCACACACAAACACACAAACACACAAACAAACACACACACACACACACACACACACACACACACACACACACACATTTTCCCACTCGCTGCCCTGCTTACTTCCTCTGCTCTGACTCTGTTTCTTGCCTGTAGACCATATTTTCTCCTCTGGGAGGTGCATGCGTGTGTGTGTGTGTGTGTGTGTGCGTGTGTGTGTTTAATGGGGACACAGAGATGGACAAATGAGCTGAGCTTCAGACAGAAGCCAGGACATACACATTAACAGACACGCGCGCACACACACACACACACACATACACACACACACACACACTTTGCCCAGTGTGTCCCCGAGGCTCTGGCATCTTGCTTTGCTAATTAGACCCTTTCCTTTAAAACACTTCTCCTTTAAGCGCTCCTATTTTCCTCTCGTCCCTCTGAGAGAAAGTGTTTTTATTTATGCCAGCATCTGTGTGTGTGTGTTTGCATGCATTTGTGTGTGTGCATGTGCGGCGGAGTGTGTGCGTAAGCTGTTAAGTAATCCCAAATGAATCCCGGCGCTCCTCCATCAGAGTCTATGTGTCTCTCCACCTCCTCCCTCTTTGTTATTTCTCCCCCCTCACCTGCTTCTCCTTTCTCTTTTTTCTTTTTTTATTAAACCAATGTAATCTTGTGTGTAAATCCTGCCTCTGCAAGCCTTGTCGACAGAATTAATAAGTGTAAAAAATCACAAGTCGCTCTGCAGCTGTCTGTGCATGCATGTGTGTGTGTGTGTGTGAGAGAGATACCGAGTGTGTGCATTTGTTTACATGTGCGCGCACGTGCTTAGCATGTGTAATAGGTGTGAAATCAATAAGTCCTGTCGCGGCGTGGAAAACGTTTTCTCCAAATTGCAACACATTTATTTGAAACCCTGCCCTGTCCGCGCTGCATGGAATATTATTAATACCGCTCGTGGCAGTTTTGTCATCCTGAATGTGTTTGGGAGATGAAACCGATCCCAGACAGATGCATTAATGCCGCTCCTCCACGCGGAAGATATCTCAGCCGTTTGCAGGAGATCGCAATTACAGATTAGGGAATCAAGAGATGCTTTCCCCCTCCAGGATAAATTAGCAGCATTACTTGTATTTACACTACACCAACATTACACTGGAAAAACTCAAACGTTGGCTTTAATTACAATGATGTTGTCAAAAAATGTCACATAACTGTATTACGTTAGTTAAAAGCAATACAATTACGTTTAACCTAATATTCTTTATTTAAACTTAATATTATCTACCTAATACAGTTATGTGAAATCTGTTGACATGATACATTTAATTAAAGTTTCAGTGTTTTCACATTTTTTGTCTCTTTGAATATTTGTGTAACATCTGTGAAATTGAGCCAAAGAGTAATTTTGTGTATCCTTTACAGTTGCAACAAGCAATTACTTTCTATTTATTACACTCATACTGATTATTCTTCTAGATTTATCGTCTGGTCTGTACGATTCCAGGAAATAGGGAAAAAATTGACAATTTGTTTTACATTTCTTGATATTCAGTCCAAATCCTAACAATTCTGAATCTATTGTGATTTAAAATAGAGAGACTAAAAAGCATTTTCTGCCATTATTGCATGAAAATGTAATTTAACGTTCCTCTACTTGACTCGCCAAATAGTCGTTGCGACTCTCCTTTTAATATCTTACCTTAATATAAATGACATCATCTTGTTGTTATAAAAAGGACAAAAATACTACATTAAGGAGAAATAAAATGGTTTTACTATAGCTTAATTATTTAGTATAAGCAGCATTACTTCTGTACACAGACATGGAGGAGCTGTTTGTGTCATAGTACTCCTTTAAGTTTCAGCTCAATAAACATCCTTAATGGCCCTTAATGACGACTCGGCCCATATTAACTGTAATGGTTTTTAATTTTCCTCCACTGTTTTAGTTTTTTCCCCTGTGCTTCCTCTTATTACACCACTCACACCCTTTAGGGACCCAGTGTGGTGTTATTACTGTGCAGAGATGTGTGTGTGAGAGTGTGTGTGTGTGTGTGTGGCGTGTGTGTGTGTGGTGCATTGTGGGCGGAAGGTATCTATTGATCGTGGTCATCCTCCAAACCAGGCGTGGTGATGTCAGCGGTGATGTCATCCTGTCAGGGTAATCGGAGCGTGCCATTGGCTCAGAGGTCTGACAGATGAGACGGCGGTGACCTCTGTGAGGCGGGACAGGACAAAGCCTCTCTGTCTCCCCCCTCTCACCTGTCCTTCTCTCACCCGTTTGTTTCTTTTTCGTGGATGAAGACTCCATCCTTTCTCTTCTTTCTCTATGTTTACTGCATTTCTGTCTCACACACTCACACACACACACACACACACACACACACACACACACACACACACACACACACACACACACACCACACACACACACACACACAGAGGTTTTAATAACGTCAGATGTCAGTGAATAGGCCGTGCAGCTCCAGTGCGCAGACTGAGAGTGATCCAGTAAACCTTATCCTTTCTATTCTCTCCTCTCTTCCAATCATTTCATCTCTATCTATTTCCTTTCCTTTCTTGCCTTTCCTTTTTATTTCATTCCTTTCCTTTCCCTTTCTTCCTTATCTTCATTTCCTTTGCTTCCTTTTCCTTTCCTCTTCTTCTTTTCCCTTCTTTCCTTCCATTTCCTATCCTTTCCTTTTGTTTCCTTTCCTCTCCTCTCCCTTCCTTCCTTTACTTCTCAATTCTTTCCTTTTCTTTCCTACTTCCTCGCTTCCTTCCTTGCTCTCTTCTCTCCCTCTCCTCCTTTCCTTTCTTTTCCTTCTTAACTCTTCTCCCATATTCCTTTTCCTTATCTCCTTCCTTTCTT